CATGAGATGCCCCTGGTACCTTTTTCATAAGCTTTTTTGAGTTTGGGCAAGGACACAGGGGCCCCATGATCCCCTATTGCCCGGGGGCCCCATGAGTTGTCAGTCCGCCCCTGTTGTCAACTAAACAGGAATAGAGGAGAACGCTTCCAATGAGTGACAACTCAAGTCTCATTGGAGAGACTTCCTTTTACTTCTTGTTGCGCAGACATGGCGGGAAGTAAAAGGAAATCCCCCCCCCCCCAATGGGGCACAGATGGCAAAATAACCTTCCCTGCTCTCTCCAAAATTTTAAAACTCTAAAACTGAGGGTCAGCATCATAAATGGTGAAAGTCCTACTCACAGACAGGATGCGGTCTCCGCGACGTAACTCTCCACTAAGGTCAGCCGGTCCTCCAGCCAGAATAAAAGACACAAAGATTCCTTCTCCATCTTCCCCACCGACAATGTTAAAACCAAGTCCTGTAGATCCTTTGTGTAAAATGATCTTCCTCGGTTCCCTGGGGACACGACGAAAAGACATGTCTAGCACTTAGACGCAGGTATTTAAAAAAAAAAAAAAAAACCACCGCAGACAATGACAACAGAGGATGTAAATGAACAGTGAAAAGAGAATATGAGAAAAAGGTGTAAAAGCAAAACAGGATGTGCCTCTGTCAGCTGGAGAATACAATCCAGGAAAAAAAAAGATGACATCAGCAGAAAGGATGAACTCTGTTCAGCATCAACGGCGGGAATTAGATGGAATATGGTGACAGCGTAGCCGGTCTGACTGGTACTATATCCAATGAAATCACCTTTTAATGAAACCCTATGAATAGTTTCAGGGCAGGAACCGCTGCTGATTGCGACACAAGGTTAACTCATATCACAAGATCTGCTCTCCAAAGATCTGCTGCTCTCACCGTCACAACACGAGACATGCATTTCCCTGTCCATTCCTACACGAGACATGCATTTCCCTGTCCATTCCTACACGAGACATGCATTTCCCTGTCCATTCCTACACGAGACATGCATTTCCCTGTCCATTCCTACACGAGACATGCATTTCCCTGTCCATTCCTACACGAGACATGCATTTCCCTGTCCATTCCTACACGAGACATGCATTTCCCTGTCCATTCCTACACGAGACATGCATTTCCCTGTCCATTCCTACACGAGACATGCATTTCCCTGTCCATTCCTACACGAGACATGCATTTCCCTGTCCATTCCTACACGAGACATGCATTTCCCTGTCCATTCCTACACGAGACATGCATTTCCCTGTCCATTCCTACTCACGTCTGGGATCTACCATAACCTGTAGGTCGCCTGCAACTTTTTGACTTTTCCTGTGCTGCCTCTGAGCATCTCCTGTTCTCCAGAACAACTTGCTTTGTTCTTGTTAGAGAGATAAAAATGTAGTCACGGCCTAACCGAATATATTTGGAAGTGTGAGCTCTCCTTCTCGAGGCATGGTTTGTTGAGGAGAGCATGCCTGAAGAAGGAAAAAGAGGGGTTTCCAAAGCTTGCACATTTTTTGAGGATAAACCTTTGACAATCTACGCCTTACTTCTAGGTTCAAGCTGTGGATGTAGATGAATTTGGTGGACCCCTGAAAGAAAGATGAAGAATTTGGTGAACTTTTCAGGATATGCCTTCGAGATCTACCTCCTACTTCTAGGTTCAAGATGTGGATGTAGAAGAATTTTGATAGACCCCCAAAGGATTTCCCTAAAGCATGAACTGTACAGATTGTTGTCTAACCCAGTCTCTCTCATCCAGGGTGCCCAGGCAAGCTATATTTTTAGGTGTGACCTTTGAAAAACAATTTAGTTCTTGAGGCATGGCTTCACGATGAGAGCATGCTTGAAGAAGGAAAAAGAGGGGTTTCCAAAGCTTGCACATTTTTTTATGGATAAACCTTTGACGATCTACGCCTTACTTCTAGGTTCAAGCTGTGGATGTAGAAGAATTTTGGTAGACCCCCGAACATGGACTGACCATTTGAAACTCGGGCATGCCCGAGGGCCTGGGGTCAGTAGGAAGCCCCATTGCCCCTAGGTACCTTTTTCATAGCTTTTTTGAGTTTGAGCAAGGTACGGGCCCCATGATCCCTTATTGCCCGGGGGCCCCATTAGTTGTTAGCCCGCTCCTGCCCCCGAAGGATATCCCTAAAGCATTAACTGTACAGATTCTTGTTGTCTAACCCAGTCTCTCTCATCCAGGGTGCCCAGGCAAGCTATATTTTGAGGTGTGACCTTTTAAAAAACAATTTAGTTCTTGAGGCATGGCTTCACGAGGAGAGCATGCTTGAAGAAGGAAAAAGAGAGGTTTCCAAAAGCTTGCACCTCAAAACATTTTTGAAGCAATCCGTTACTCATTCAGGATAAATCTTTGATGATCTACACCTTGCTCCTAAGTTCAAGCAATGGATGTAGATGAATTTGGTGGACCCCTGAAAGAAAGATGAAGAATTTGGTGAACTTTTCAGGATATGCCTTCGAGATCTACCTCCTACTTCTAGGTTCAAGATGTGGATGTAGAAGAATTTTGGTAGACCCCCGAAGGATTTCCCTAAAGCATGAACTGTACAGATTCTTGTTGTCTAACCCAGTCTCTCTCATCCAGGGTGCCCAGGCAAGCTATATTTTGAGGTGTGACCTTTTAAAAACAAATTTAGTTCTTGAGGCATGGCTTCACGATGAGAGCATGCTTGAAGAAGGAAAAAGAGGGGTTTCCAAAGCTTGCACATTTTTTTCAGGATAAACCTTTGACGATCTACGCCTTACTTCTAGGTTCAAGCTGTGGATGTAGAAGAATTTCGGTAGACCCCCGAAGGATTTCCCTAAAGCATGAACTGTACAGATTCTTGTTGTCTAACCCAGTCTCTCTCATCCAGGGTGCCCAGGCAAGCTATATTTTGAGGTGTGACCTTTTAAAAACAATTTAGTTCTTGAGGCATGGCTTCACGATGAGAGCATGCTTGAAGAAGGAAAGAGAGGGGTTTCCAAAAGCTTGCACCTCAAAACATTTTTTGAAGCAATCCGTTACTCATTCAGGATAAATCTTTGATGATCTACACCTTGCTCCTAAGTTCAAGCAACAGATGTAGATGAATTTGGTGGACCCCTGAAAGAAAGATGAAGAATTTGGTGAACTTTTCAGGATATGCCTTCGAGATCTACCTCCTACTTCTAGGTTCAAGGTGTGGATGTAGAAGAATTTGGAAGACCCCTGAAAGAGTGTCCTAAAACACGAACTGTACAGATTCCTGCCATATCCTAATCGAAATTAGTTTGAAGTATGAGCTTTCAAAAACAGTTTCCTTCAAAATGGACATAGGTCAAGGAATTGGAATATATTTTGAGGCATATGGCTTCTTGATGAGAGCACGCTTGAAGGAACAAAAAGGGTCTCCAAAGCTTGCAACTCAAAACATTTTGCAAGTATTCAGTTAATTTTTCAGGATAAACCTTCGAAGATCTACATCCACATCTTGAACCTAGAAGTAGGAGGTAGAAGAATTTGGAAGACCCCTGAAAGATTGTCCTAAAACACGAACTGTACAGATTCCTGCCATATCCTAATCGAAATTAGTTTGAAGTATGAGCTTTCAAATACAGTTTCCTTCTTGAGGCATGGCTTCATGACAAGAGCACGCTTGAAGAAGGAACAAAAAGGGGTCTCCAAAGCTTGCACCTCAAAACATTTTGCAAGTATTCAGTTCATTTTTCAGGATAAGCCTTCGAAGATCTACCTCTTATTTTTAGGTTCGAACAGTGGATGTAGAAGATTTTTGAAGACCCCTAAAAGATTGTCCTAAAATACAAAGTGTACAGATTCCTGCCATAGCCTAACTGTTTTTGAAAGCTCACACCTCAAAAAAATTTCAGTTAGGCTATGGCGGGAATCTGTACACTTTGTATTTTAGGACAATCTTTTAGGGGTCTTCAAAAATCTTCTACATCCACTGCTCGAACCTAGAAATAAGAGGTAGATCTTCGAAGGCTTATCCTGAAAAATGTTTTGAGGTGCAAGCTTTGGAGACCCCTTTTGTTCCTTCTTCAAGCGTGCTCTCATCATGAAGCCATGCCTCAAGAAGGAAACTGTTTTTGAAAGCTCACACCTCAAAATAATTTCAGTTTCCTTCTGGAGGCATGGCTTCATGATGAGAGCACGCTTGAAGAAGGAACAAAAGGGGTCTCCAAAGCTTGCACCTCAAAACATTTTTGAAGCAATCCGTTACTCATTCAGGATAAATCTTTGACGCTCTACACCTTGCTCCTAAGTTCAAGCAATGGATGTAGACGAATTTGGTGGACCCCTGAAAGAATGTCCTAAACCAAGAATTGTACAGACTCTTGTCATTGCCTAACCGAATATATATTTTGAGGTAGACATGTGCTTTTTGTTTCATTATGATTGTTTTTTTCGGAGATTCGTATGTATCCAAATTTCCAAATGGACATAGTAACACAGGTCAAGGAATCTGAAAAATGCGATAATGAAATTCACAAATGCATTTGTTTCATTCGGATGACGTCACGACGCAATAGTAGTTCTGGCCCATGAGGAAATCAATTCAATTTTCAAATTAATTTGATCATTCGGATAACGAACGGATCTGAATTTCGTTCTGTTCATTAATTCGCATGCACATGATGCCAGTCATTATTGTCCAATTAGCTCATGTCATTTCTCTTGGTGGATTGGACTAGGGTCCGAAAATATTTAATTCTTCTGAATAGTTTAGATAATATATCAAATATATAGCAATCTTCTGAAAAACATGCAACATTTTTCAAATCCACCTGGACCAAAGAATATACGAAACAAATGCTACAGATACAAAACGAAATCCAAAAAAAAAAAGGGTTCGACATAACAAAAATTCTTCAATGAATGAATATATCCAAAACAAAATGAAACACAAATTTCTGGCAAAAACGGTTTCCTTCTTGAGGCATGGCTTCACACTTGAAGGAAACTGAGGTGTTTTCAAAGCTTGCACCTCAAAACAGTTTATGTATTCGGTTACTTTTTTAGGGCATGCCTTCGAATATCTACCTCTTAGTTCAAGGTTTGAGCTGTGGATGTAAAAGAATACAGTGGACCCCGGAACAAGGGCGGACTGACAACTCATGGGGCCCCCAGGAAATAGGGGATCATGGGGCCCCTGTGTCCTTGCCCAAACTCAAAAAAAAGCCTATGAAAAAGGTACCAGGGGCATCTCATGGGGCCCCCTACTGACCCCGGGCCCTCAGGCAGTGCCTGAGTTTCCAAATGGTCAGTCCGCCCCTGCCCCGGAAGGACTGTCCTAAAACATGAACTGAACAGATTCAAAAAAAGGTGTGTCATGTACAGCGCTCAAAAATAAATTGCTAATCAAAAGGCATCGCCTACATTTTTGCTTTCCTACTCGGTCCACCGCTCCACCACTCTTCTTGTTTTCCTCCTACCTCTCTCAGTTTGTCCTTGGTGCCAATTGCCACTTTGGATGCCCAATGCTTGTCATTGCCTAACTGAATATATTTTGAGGTGTGACCTTTTAAAAACAGTTTTGTACTTGAGGCGTGGCTTCATGATGAGAGAGCACGCTTGAAGGAGACAAAGGGGTTTCCAAAAGCTTGCACCTCAAAACAGATGAAGGTTTGGTTAACTTTTCAGGATATGCCTTCGAGATCTATCTCCTACTTCTAGGTTCAAGATGTGGATGTAGAAGAATTTGGTAGTCCCCCGAAGGATTGTCCTAAAGCATGAACTGTACAGATCCTTGCCATAGCCAAACCGAATATATTTTGAGATGTGAGCTTTCAAAACCAATTTCCTTCTTGAGGGCATGGCTACATGAGAGCACTCTTTAAGAAGGAACAAAGGCATTTTCCAAAGCTTGCACCTCAAAACATTTTGTAAGTATTCAGTTAATTTTCAGGATAAGCCTTCAAAAAGATCTACCTCCTACTTTGAGGTTCAAGCAGTGGATGTAGAAGAATTTGGAAGACCCCTGAAAGATTGTCCTAAAACACGAACTGTACAGATTCCAGCAATATCCTAATCGAAGTTATTTTGAGGTGTGAGCTTTCAAAAACAGTTTCCTTCTTGAGGCATGGCTTCGTGAGAGCAGGCTTGAAGAAGGAACAAAGGGGTCTCCAAAGCTTGCACCTCAAAAAATTTTGTATGGGGTCAGTTAATTTTTCAGGATAAGCCTTCAAAAGATCTACCTCCTACTTCGAGGTTCAAGCAGTGGATGTAGAAGAATTTGGAAGACCCCTGAAGGTTTGTCCTAAAGCATGAACTGAACAGATTCAAAAAGGTGTCATGTACAGCGCTCAAAAATAAATTGCTAACCGAAGGCATCGCCTACATTTTTGCTTTACTACATCTAACACCACCGCTCCACCGGTCTTCTTGTTTTCCTCCTACCTCTCTCACTTTGTCCATGGTGCCAATTGCCACTTTGGATGCCCAACTGAATATATTTTGAGGGCGTATGGCTTCATGATGAGAGCACGCTTGAAGAAGGAACGAAGGCATTTCCAAAGCTTGCACCTCAAAAAAAATTTGTAAGTAGTCAATCTTTCAGGATAAGCCTTCAAAAGATCTACCTCCTACTTCGAGGTTCAAGCAGTGGATGTAGAAGAATTTGGAAGACCCCTGAAGGATTGTCCTAAAGCATGAACTGAACAGATTCAAAAAGGTGTCATGTACAGCGCTCAAAAATAAATTGCTAACTGAAGGCATCGCCTACATTTTTGCTTTACTACATCTAACACCACCGCTCCACCGGTCTTCTTGTTTTCCTCCTACCTCTCTCAGTTTGTCCATGGTGCCAATTGCCACTTTGGATGCCCAATGCTTGTCATTGCCTAACTGAATATATTTTGAGGCGTATGGCTTCATGATGAGAGCACGCTTGAAGAAGGAACGAAGGCATTTCCAAAGCTTGCACCTCAAAACATTTTGTAAGTAGTCAATCTTTCAGGATAAGCCGTCAAAGATCTACCTCCTACTTCGAGGTTCTGTGGATGTAGAAGAATTTGGTAGACCCCTGAAAGGTTGTCCTAAAGCACGAACTGAACAGATTCAAAAAGGTGTCATGTACAGCGCTCAAAAATAAATTGCTAACCGAAGGCATCGCCTACATTTTTGCTTTCCTACATCTAACATGGTCCACCGCTCCACCATCCTTCTCGTTTTTCTCCTACCTCTCTCGGTTTTTCCTGAGTGCCCATTGCCACTTTGGATGCCCAATGCTGGGTGCCCTCCGATATGACATAGATGAAGAGACATTCACCGTGAACATGAAGGCGGTTCCCAGGATTTACGACCTTTTCCTATCTATGTTCCTCTGCGCTTTGCTGACACAAGCCTTTCTCTTGGGACTTTTGCACCTTGCTGGTCCCTCACGGTTCTCCTTTCGCTGTGTCCCGCAGTCACGGCTTCAGCTGGACCTTCTCTTATCTACCTCCAGCCCCTCGTTCTATATAGCTCTTCTTCTCCTCCGCCTTTGGTTCCTGTCTGAACATTTCTTTGCTTTCCCTTTCCCACTAACACATTCTTTCTCACAAAACACGCGGGGTGTTGTTGCTGACACCTTTTTTTTTTTTTGCTTTGTGTCTCACTGGTTTTAACCTTTTCTTGGGAGCTTTCGTGTTTTAACAACCAGCAAAATCCACCGGGGCCTTTCTTAATCCTTGCCGCCCTATAAAAATGACAGCGGTGACTTGAACAGGCCCATTAAATTTTAGGTGCTTTGTCAGGGGCCAAGTGACTTCTCCAGAGCGGCACACTTGGAATACCTGTGTTACAAGGTTCTGCTGGATAGTTGGGATTCCGGTCATTCCGAGGGAGCTGATTGTCATCTAGTTACAGGCTGGGATTGCTGGTGACACCAACCCACACGAGGAACCTGGCTCTTCCATACAAGCTGCTGTTTTATGAAGGGCAGGAATGACAGCTGACTAATTTGTCACTTGCAGCTCTCGCAGCACCTCCCTAGGTAATTAAACTCCATGTCATGCTTCCTCCAAGCAGCTTTGGTTTCTTTACTTTAGGAGTTCAACTTCGTCCTTCAGACCCAAAGTATTTACTTTCGTCTCTGGCTCCATTCTCTTCCCATTGTACGCCTGCTCTCCATGTTCCTCACACGCTCCACCTCCCCTCCCGTTCTTCCCATGGTGAGTCAGACTGCAGATAGTTCCATTTATCGGAGCCCAGTAACCCATCTGAGAGATTTCATACACGTTCCTCTAATTACGGGTTATGCAGCTGTTGATTACGACTTCTATATCTGCTGGACTTCATTCAGATCACAGGTGTCAAACACAAGGCCCGAGGGCCAAATGAGGCCCTCCAGGACATTTCGTGTGGCCCTTAGACCTCCCCTGCAGCTGTGGCACCCACCCTCATCTCCATCTTGTCTCAGCAGTTGGCAGAAGGGAGGAGGACAGAACTCCTTCGCCAAATCCTGCACTTCTCCATGTACCCGTGAGAAGCTAGTCTCTGCAACCCTCCACCCCTGGTCCCCATAGTTGGCAGAAGGGAGGAGGACAGAACTCCTTCGCCAAATCCTGCACTTCTCCATGTACCCGTGAGAAGCTAGTCTCTGCAACCCTCCCTGGTCCCCATAGTTGGCAGAAGGGAGGAGGACAGAACTCCTTCGCCAAATCCTGCACTTCTCCATGTACCCGTGAGAAGCTAGTCTCTGCAACCCTCCCACCCCTGGTCCCCGTAGTTGGCAGAAGGGAGGAGGACAGAACTCCTTCGCCAAATCCTGCACTTCTCCATGCACCCGTGAGAGGCTCGTCTCTACAACCCTCCACCCCTGGTCCCCGTAGTTGGCAGAAAGGAGGAGGACAGAAACTCCCACCAAATCCTGCACTTCTCCATGCAAGCGTTACAGGCTCGTCTCTGCAACCCTCCACCCCTGGTCCCCGTCGTTGGCAGAAGGGAGGAGGACAGAACTCCTCCGCCAAATCCTGCACTTCTCCATGCACCCGTGAGAGGCTCATCTCTGCAACCCTCCACCCCTGGTCCCAGTAGTTGGCAGAAGGGAAGAGGACAGAACTCCTCCACCAAATCCTGCACCCGTGAGAGGCTCGTCTCTGCAACCCTCCACCCCTGGTCCCCGTAGTTGGCAGAAGGGAGAAGGACAGAACTCCTCCGCCAAATCCTGCACTTTTCCATGCACCCGTGAGAAGCTCGTCTCTGCAACCCTCCACCCCTGGTCCCCGTAGTTGGCAGAAGGGAGGAGGACAAAACTCCTCCCTCAAATCCTGCACTTCTCCATGCACCCGTGAGAGGCTCGTCTCTGCAACCCTCCACCCCTGGTCCCCATAGTTAGCAGAAGGGAGGAGAACAGAACTCCTCCGCCAAATCCTGCACTTCTCCATGCACCCGTGAGAAGCTCGTCTCTGCAACCCTCCACCCCTGGTCCCAGCAGAGAGGAGGACAGAACTCCTCCTACAGATCCTGTGCTTCTCTGTGCAGCCACAGCACTCCCTCATCTCTAACTCCCCTGGTCTAGGCATTCATCCGACTCCAGCCCTCTGGTCCTCCTCCAGACCCTGCACCTCCTGCTTCCCAGTTCCTCCTCCAAATTCTTCCCGGCAGCAGCAGGTATGGGGGGGGTGTACTGTGATGTATGGGAGGAAGGGGTGTTCGGGACATCTAGTCTTACAGGTACAACTGGCCCTTTGAGGGCAACTATAATGCTGATGCAGCCCACCATGAAATTGAGTTTGGCACCCCTGATTTCGATAGTAATGTAAGTTTAAACCCGAACTGGATGGCATTTAGTCCCGGGCACTTTGCATTATGAATAACTGCTTGAATAAAAGCCGGTTGCAGGTCTCCTTCAGCCTGTTTGCCGCCACTTCCTGACTACATACACTTGTCAGTTAGCTTCCTCCCTCCCACGCGGCCAGGCTCCTACTCTTGCTTGGCCGGGTTCCTCCTGTCAATGACGTCATAGGCGCGCTTCTGAGCCCCTTTCCTGTGCACTTGTGTTCCTACTTTGGCTGCCCATTTGGAACCACTTGTCTGCCACCTGCCCCCGGCACTGGTCTGTATTCTGATTATCATTCATCCCCTCTATGTTTGTGGTCCACAGTCCCCACTACCTAGTCTGATCTACTGTTCGTTCATCCAATACACTTCTACGTTGGGGTTCAAGGTCCTGCTGCTTGGTCCAGTTCCCGGTTTATCCAGAACACAACTGTGCTAGCGGTCCAAAGTCTGGCTGCCTGAGTTTGTTGCACTGCATCCTCCTGTTCCATGTTTCAAGCTGCTCTGGTGTGCTTCGCAGTCCTAAATCCCTCTCTGCAGTACCATTCCTGTCTACCCTGCT